AAATAGATGAAAACATAAATACCTTCAACAGCTGGCAGATTAGTCACAAATGCAGCTAAAGGTGGGGGTAGGGTTTTTAAAATATCATTGATTGCAGTTGTTCCTCCACTATTTACAGGTACACCACTGGTCAACGGGTTTGGGAAAGCAGTCAATCCAGGGGCAGGAGGGCCTGCAAAAATATTCATCTTCTAAGACTTCACAACAAAGAAAATTCATCCGGGGCTTATTCAATCAATCTAGCCAGAATACGAAGCAGTGGCTACAGGGAAATCTACCATTCACCATTCATTTTAAACGAAATCATTTTATCACCATCTCTGTACTTGAAACAATTCAAATAGTATCTGCCAAAGAAATGTCCTATTACGAGTTTTAGCCTCTAAGTATCATAGTATGGCATTTAGCATAAAAGTATACATATCTATTGAAAATGTATGGTTGTCTAATGGTTAGGTCTAACTAACAACAACAACTATCTAGCCAAAGCACCTAATATGGAGTGACCCCATAAAAGTATGTATAATACCATTCTGATCACCATTCTGTATAATACCAATCTTGCCAGAAATATCTGGATTTTTTGGAACACTTGAAATTTTCCAGTCTGCATTAACAGCAGGAAAAATTGATCATAAATTAAGTAATCACACACTGTGCGTGTATTTAAATAATTATTTTACCTGTAGACGTAGGCCCGTTGGCTGGAACAGCATTTTCAGCCTTCCTAATCGCATTTTTAGTAAGCCACTAAGAAAAGGGAAGACCATATGCAAAATCATTCATAGATACCTCAGAATATAACATATATTATTATATCCAAGTATAAGTACCTCTTGCCGGGCTAAATGATCCAAGTCCTTAGATGAACAAGGCCAGAGATCCATAAACCTATACCGTGATATAACATCTTGCAGAGAGTTTTCCAAAACGGAATCCTCATTCTCGGCCATTCTGCATAAAGCTTCTTTCCTCCTTTGCTCAACCTATCATGATACTATTAGCTAAATGCTAGAACCAACAATGTATGCATTTTGCTGGCGGCCCATAAAAGAATATAAGACCAGTACTAAAAATAACGCATCTCCCAAACACAAGAATACAAATTTCGATGAATCTACCTTTAACATGCTGGCAAGATCTCCATAGGTCTGCTCAAACTGAATGAATTTATTCCAAACCTGAAAACAAATGAAACCAAAATGAGGAATGTGTGAATTTCAAGAAAATTGATTGAAGATATTACCAATTTCACAGCAGAGAAAAGATTAAACATCACACGAAGCATTTGAATTTGGAGCCATTGTACACAAACAACTCATATAGGATGACATATAAAGTAACAAAAGGAGAGTAAGTTATAGAACATAGAAGCTGAAGTACCTCTACAGATTCATCAGGTGGAAGTGAGCTCAAAGCTCGTTCAAACAACGCACGGACATTTCTATCGTCATTCAACCGACACAGGAAATCAGCATACCTACAATATAATAACATAAGTTCACTATGAAGGCTTATTACATCTTCAAATTCAAACAAATCAGATCGTGCGTGAGAGTTTTGTGCCTGTAGAGAGGAAATGACAAATGAACTCACTCTAGAATGTAGCTCGGCTCATGCATAAAGCGTTTGAGACCTGCTTCAAATACATTGTGTGCAAGCTGGGAAAGTTTCAGGCCACATGATCAAACTAATATGCTATAAAAGATATTACGAAGTAAATGGGAAAATGTACTGAACTATCTTTTCTGTAAAGAACAATCAAACGGATATATATCAAGGAGTCTTTTTCTTTTGTATGAATGGATGGATGGATGGATGCATGTATCTTTTTCTTTTGTATGAATGGATGGATGGATGGATGCATGTAAGTACGTATGCACGTGTGCATGTGTGCATGTGTGTGGTTTTCCTTCAACCAGAACTTGATGTATTCATTGCAATAACCTCCTGCTCACCTTCACATTATATTTATCCTAACCGCTGAAATATATAAAAGCCGAAACATTTTTTTAAGTGACAATCACCTTTGCATTTTTATCCAGACAAAAAGCCATCATTGCGTATGCAACATAAACATGGTAAGTGCAGTTTGGAGATTTGCGTGCATCCAGAAAGTATTTCCGAGCTGCTTCAATACCTTCAGTTCTCCTTAAAAATCTTATGTACTGCATAAAGGAACATCATGATAAGTTTGTAATAAAAAGATCCAAGAAAAACTCTGTTCTTCACGAGTGAAACAGAGACAATTTTCAAAAATACCAAATACAAAAGACATTCAAAAGCAAGGTCTACAGAAGGCTATTTAATCATCCTTTTTAACGAATTGGCGCTGGATAGGAACTAAAACCTAAAAGGTGAAGAAGGTTTGCAAATAAAAATGGGATAGAAAAAATAAATATGGATCATAAGAGACTTCAAAAACCAATAGGATATAATAATATATTAGTTGAGGCCTCCTTGATATCAGGTTGGATTTCTGAACCTTTAGTTTGTGTAAGGCAGATTTTTATTCTACTCATCTTTATACAGCATATAAATTTAGAAGACAACCGTATGTACCTGGATGTGTGATAAAGCAGTTGCATTCACACCATCTCCAATTAGACTTTCAAATACTTTTTTCGCTGCCTGCGCAAGCAGAATGTATCAAAAATAAATGACTGGGAGAGACAGAGAGAATTGTGCGACTGACCTGAACTGCTCCATGAGATTCCTCTAGCTCAGCATAAGCATACTTTAGCATGTCAGAATCTAACATGAAAAATCAAAAACCATTTAATCCACCACATGGAAAAACAGAAAATGATGGGCAAGCAAGAAATAGGACGTCTCAGGAATAGGTTTTAACAGAACAATGTTTCTTCACTTTAAAAGAATCTCAAAGGATACAAATTCTTTCAGCACTGCCAGATAATTACCAGGAAGAGCCTTCAAAGCACGCTGGAAAACTTTGATGGCCGAGTCCCTGGAACCACTTTTTGCTTGCCATGTCGCATAGTCATACCATATATCAGGATAATGATATAAATACATGAGGCACTAGCACAGAAACACAAAAGTGAGCATCTTCACCTCTCTATTTGTCCCTCTAGTAAATTACAATATTGCCAATTGCCAAAACATACCAAAACACTAAAGATCAACAAGTCCATGAAAGCCAATGGAGAAAACTATTCAAGGAAGGATTGAATAAAAGATAGATATGATGATATGATGAGGCAAGGGAACCAGGGTGTCAAAGATCAGAAATATATCTATTAATTAGGAAAAAAATACGTAAAAGAAATTTGAAGTCAGATCATATTATCATGGAATGATTTATTTTATGTACTATTTCTGAAAAAAATTAGCATAGGTCATTTTCACCAACAAACATTAATGAAACAAGCTTTAAGACTCATTTCTTAGACCACGCATGAATTTAACCTGTTCAATGTAATTCGCCTTACAAACAGAAGTTTAGAAACAGTATACAGATGTTATGCAGCAGGGTGACCTGAAGTTCCATTTTAACTAGGTGTGTCTTCAGTACCTGCTCATAAGCAAATGCAATTCGTTTGTTCGAAGAGGCGTTGTCAATTCGCTGGGGGTTGCCTCTGTGATGAGAACAAAGTGTTACCGAATTGAGTTGTGGAAAAACAAATTGTGGAATCTAACTTAATAGTCATAAAAGAACTACAAAGCAGATAAACCACAAAAGGATGCTGATAAGCGGAAAGGTGAATATCCTCAGATAAAATATACTGAAACGAACAAGAAAGATGGAAAGATCAAACCAGAAAACATGTAAAAATTTTCTTTTGATAACAGGGATACAGCTGCTGACAATAAAACTGTAAGCATATAGGTTCTAGATCGACCAAACACCGACTTAGATGTAGTATTTTTTACAAGCAACATCGAAATGCAACAATTTTACTCAATAAAAAATAAATATAAAATTGACAGATGATACCTACTTCTCAAAGCTCAGCAACTTTTTCCAAGACTTCCATTGCATTTCCTCCTGTCATACATCAGTACAATCAAATAATCACTTAGCGTCTAGTTCTTTTCTTTTATAGATAAAAAGTTCAACTGCCAGTCCTATATAACCAATTTTCCCCTGCCAGCAAGAAAACGCAAGGTAAAAACTCAATCCAAGCATCGCTAGCCAACAAATCAACCATATAGTCCTGGACTGGGTTACTAAGACAAGTTTAAGCGCACATATGGATATTTAAATTGTTATGTGCGTTTTGTGTCTCTCAATCAATCATTTGCTCACAAAATAACTGAGTTAAAGGCTCAGAGCCACTAAAAATTATTAAAAAATGCAATACAACTCTGAAATCAATATTTGGCAAAACAAATACCTTAAGAGAGCCAGAAGGAGGAACAGCAAGCATATTCCAGTCAATGTCATCAAAATACTTCTTGCGCTCCCTGTAAACAGCCCTTGCACTGTTATATTTTGGTTGATACTCGGCAACCAACCCTTTTGCCTACAAAATATTTGAACTATCAGATTACTACTCCTTCTATGATTGCTTTTATCATTAAATATAGAAATACCTTAACCAAGCAGAATAGACTTTTAGCAGCGAATCTTTAAGTGAAAGTTATGCAAGCTCACCGTGATCCAACACAATCAAGGAAACAATAACATGAACAAGCATGCAAAAGTCATGAAAAAAGATTTAGATGTTCATTCAAATACCAGGACTCCTGGTCTTAATAACATGTGACGTGTTACACTAGGACATATATATCATAGTTGTACAAGTAAACACCAGTTGCGCTGTAACAAGTTTTAACTTCTAAAAATTTTCTAATACGTCTGATTAAAAGAAAAATAAAGAAAAAAGGGAAAAATAAAAAATAAAGGGAAAACATAGTTCACGAAAAGTGATAAATTGCATGTAAACAAAAACAGCAGGTAATCTCATTCAATAAGAAAATTTCATGCAAGAGCTTCTTAAGACAGATTGTTTGTTCCGACCCTAATATCCCCCGACCGTGAATAACAAATTATCAGAAATGCACCATGAACAAACTAGCAAAAGCAAACAGCCATACAGAAATGAGAATCAGAAGCTTACCAATGCACGACTAACTGAATTTTCAAAATTCTCATAGTCCCTCCAAAGCTGTTCAACATGATGAGTGGGCATCACAATTGCCCTTTGATAAGTCTTTCGTATGGCAGTCATCCTTTGTGACTCCTCTAATGTTGTTTGTGCCTGTTTCAATTGATCCCATATGAAGAACACAAACTGAATCATTTTTATCAACAAGTGTATTGGCAAAGAACAAGGCATCACAAAACAAACCGGTAAGGATTTCAAATATGCAATGTATTCCATCCACACAGGACCAGATGCTATATCAGCTCCTGTCAGCACCAATAAAGAAACGCTTATAAACATCCTAACTGAAGTAAACAAGATGCACAGCCAATTCAACCTTATTGACAAAATTTAGAAGTAAAGTATCAAAAACTTTAGGACCAAAAAAAAATTCATAGACACAACAAGTTGAAGCTATCCATCCTCTTTCTTATTTAACATTAAGTAAAACCATAGAAACGTTAAGTTAAATGGGAGTCACTTTCAATTTCAGTTAATATCAACAAATCAAAAGCCAAGGCCCAATTGCCTCTTCTTTTTCGTTACAGAAATAAACCAAAATTAAAAGCAGACGAACAAGAATTCTAAACTTTGACAAGATTTTTCACAACAAAGGATTCATATTTACCTTCATACAATATGTAATGAAGATTCCATACAGCAGCTAAAACACTTAAACATTGTGTACCATAAGCAGAACCATTAATCATGTCATGTAAGGGGAAAAATAAATTTAACCTTTAAAGCCTATATGAAAAAGAAACAGACTTGTGGGGACACAGAGAGGGAGGGAAGCGAGAAAAGAAGGATGCTCACAATCATGAATGTTCTAATTCTATGATACTTGAAACTCACCAACATAGTTAAGCATGAATTCATAAGCTTTTTTTGTCTCTTCCTGACCTTCTAATCCTTTCATGTCATTTATTTTCCTTATGAAGCGGATGTAACAGCGCCTACAGTGAAAGAATGCGGGGGGAACAATGTTATTCCAACACATTAAAATATGAGAGCGGACACACACAAGAAAATTCGACTTTGGGGAGACAATAGTGAAGAGATGGAATCAGCAGCACAACATGAGACGGTATAACTCATCCAATAGAAGAAATCCCTCTAACAGCATAAATGAAAAACATAAAACTTCATCTAAAAGTAGGAAAATTTACCAAAGAGGAACTTGCAAGCAATTCAAAAGGCAACGGCTAAAAACTTGTCTTGTTGCTTCATCATTGTTTACAGCCATAAGTCCTTCGACATACTGCTTCCAATACTTTGCCTGTAAATTGGACCTTAGATTAGCAGCCAAAATACATTGGCCACACAGCATAAGATAGTCTGTGTAACTTTCCCATCAAAGCTAGGAGAGTAGAACAGCCAAAGCAGCACTAGTTATTCAAGAGAGCGTAAGCAACACTTGAAAGCATATAAAATTATGATCAATCCATAAATATGGCTATGCCTGCACTGATTTATTACTAGCATACCTAGTCGAATAAATGAATATCAATCCTTTACATAAAATAGCACCCATAAAGAGGATTACCGAAGTGGGAAATGTAGCCAGAAGTTTCTCATATATTGGCACTGCATCTGAAATAGGCATTCGCTGAAATAACAAACCGCCCAAGTTTACATATCTTAGACAAAGAAAAAGGTCCAAATGATGATAAAACACAAACACACTCACATAGAGGATAGAAAGAGGAAAAAAGATACATAACAAACCAAACTAGTATTACCAGTGCCTCATTTGCAAGAATTTCGGCAGCTTCCACGTTGAACGTATCCGCATTCCCATCTTGGCGATCAACAAACAAGAAATTGGATGAGTTTTTTCAAAAATTGAAATAGAAGTTAATTCCTCAAACTGCTTGGCATTTAAAATTCCAAATTTAAAGAGCTCAAAGTGGGGAATGAATGCTTTAGAACAGTAGTGAGAAACTTACCGAGCGTCGACGTAGAATTCGTTTCTGCGGTGCTCTTGGCCATGATCCAAAAATGTTTCTTTCAATAAACCCTCAAATAAATTATTTACTCCTCGCGTTTGAGGCTCTCTATTCAGAGGGAATTAAAGTATCAAAACATAAATTAGAGTAGATATTGAGCGAATTCGTGATGGAATAATCTGGTGAGTGAGCCAAAAGCCGTCGACGAAGCTGGAACGAAACCGGCGAAGGTGCACCGGAGGTTTACGGTGATGAATTTTTACGGTGTGTTTCCAAACAGGCATACGACGTGAGGACATTTGGGCGTTTAAAATAGAGCCCGGCCCATTCATATAAAACAAGGCCCAGCCCAAATCCTTAATGGAATTGTCCGATACCTTGACTAGGCAATATTGAAGCCGATATATAATTGCCAAATTTCATTGATAGAATTAGTTGGCACAAATAATTAGATGCCCAATACCAAAGAATCATTTGGAGAATTCGAAGTCGATGCTGGTAGCTAACAAACAAAAAACAAGCTTGTTGAACAAGAGCGGAATAGCTAGAAGGAATCGTACAAAAGGAAGCAAAAGAAACTCACCGTGGTCCAATGTGTGTGCCCCATAACTAACAATGATGGAAATGCAAAAGATTTTTTTTTTTTCTAAAGCTTGATTTGAAACCACACCAACAACTAGGGCTGAGCATGGGACTCGGAGAATTCCGAATCGTTCCAAAATTTCCGAACCGAAAAATATCCGTTGACCGTTTGACTTCCTCCGAACCGAATAAAAAAAAATAATTGGTACGGTTCTGAATATTTCATAAATATCCGTACCGAGAACCGAACCGAACCTTCTCGTACCGTACCGAAACGAAGAACCGAATTATAAAAATAAATGCGTATTATTAATATATTTTATGTCAACTTTGATCCTATATAATTTGAGAATTTTTAAAATTCAAATAAAATATAGTAATAACAATTAAGATTCACTTACATTTTATGATTAGCAATACTTGATCTACAATTGAATTTCTCATGTTTAAAAAAAATTAAAATAGAATAAAAGGTTAAAGATTTAAAAAATAAAAAGATTTAAGCTTTACATAAAGTTGTCGATACTTAGGCTTAGTTTTTCTTATAACTAATATGGTATGGAAGGTTAAATAAATATTACTTTAATATAAAACTGTATTATATTTTGTTTGAATTTTAAATTTTCAATGTTAGTTGAATTTAGTCTTAACTAAAATTTAGGGTTACTTCTAAAGTTGATTTAAAAATTTAATCTTTAGTATGATGAAGTATTGATGAATGTTGGATTTAAAAAAAAAAAAAAACATATAAAAAATAAAATACAACTAGGTTGTCATTCAAAAAATTTTAAAAATGATAAGAAATCTCGGAATATCCGAACCAAACCAAACCGAACCGAACCGAACCGTTCCAATAGTCCCGAAAACCGAACCGAACCAAACCGAAAAATAAAAATCTCCGAACCGGACCGAACCGATTTTTGGTACGGTTCGGGAGATCGAATTTTAGTGATCTCCGAACTTCGGTACGGTTCTGGAGATTTATCAATCTCCGAACCATACCGACTCATGTTCACCCCTACCAACAACTCTCTTAAAGGCAGATAAAGACCACAACATGGAGAAATGACGTTCTTACCCCTTTGGAAATTGGAAAGAGATAGAAAGAGTTGTGAGTGGAATTGTGGAAGGAATAATAATAATATGATAAAGAGAAGGGTGGCACAAATGCCATGGACAACGAACTTGTCACCACGTGAAAGATGCTTTTGCTTGGTTTCGTCTTCCACAACCATTGATTTAGGTATCTAGCATAACTCCTTTATTATGTTGTTTCATTTATTAGGGTCCAAAGATCATGTCAAGTGAATGAGTGACAGGTGACAATGATTCATGTTAACCTGTGAATCTTGTGGGTTGTGGATTACAATACAAGTACATAATTGAGGCCCTGCCTGTGTAGAGATTCTTAATTAACTTGCTCTCTTTCCTTTTGTTTACACTTTGTTAAATTCCACTTAAATTGTAGATGGGGTATATATCATTTGAAATCGAATTGAGATGATTATTAGGTTGACCCCAATCATATGCATGGAAAAACATTAGTTAAAACGAGAGGGTTTGTTTTACATTGCTAGGGCATCTATAGTGGTGAGGTTTTGGGAAGTTTAAAATCGTAAACTCTCGGGTTTATTGTTAAAGAAGGCAGATTTGAGGTTTGAGTTTTCAAACCAGCTCTACAAACACAAACTTCTCCAAAACCTCATGTTGGCCCACCTGCCACACTGACAATATCTTACCTCTTTTTTTTTTAATTGTCCATTGTTGAACCCCACTAAAATTTTGTCCTATATATAATTTGACACTACACGTAAAAAGTAGAATTATTTGTTAAAGAAGAATTAATTAAATGAAAAAAAAAAGAATTATTTGTTAATTAATTCTTATTAACTTTATTGGTGAAAAATAAAATTTTCTGTTTGTAAAATTCAACTATCTTTGTTAAAATTTGACATCCCAATTTTTACTCACATTCTTTTTTTGTTTTTTATTTTTTTTTTATATTTGTTTTATAGAATTTTCCTCTCATTTTTCTGTTATTTTACAATTGATTTACATTATAAATATTTTCTACTTGGAATTGTCCCATCTTTTAATAATTAATAATTAAAGTTATAAATTTTATATTATCTAAATATAATAATATTTTAAGTTTTAAAATGTATTTATAGTTTTAATAAACATAATTGTAATGATCATGATAAATATAAAAGTATGATTTAAAATAACAATTGAAAATAAGGTATTTTCGAACAAAAACGAATACTAGCAATCTTTGTTCCTAAAAGAAAGAAGTGAAACGAGGTAGTTTGGTTTAAAAAAAATAGAGTTCTTGACAATCCAAAAAGAAAAATAAAATAAATTAATTGAAATAAGAACGAGTTCCAATTGTTGTCGAAATATAACAATTGTATTTTCGAACAAGAACAATCTTCAACAAAACTTGCTTGTAAAAGAAAGAAGTAAAATGAATTTTATAAATAGGTTTTATGTAAACAATCGTTGTATACCTAGAAGCTAATATTTTATTTTGATTATTTACTTTTACTTTTCTATATTCTTGATGTTTTAAAAGTAAAAGTTACATTTCATTTTATTTTAACTTCCATATAATCACAATCCTAACAAACTAATTAGTATAATATTTTTTTACCCATTTTTATATAATCGGATTTCTTAAAATATAATTAATATAACATTTTAACTATTTAATCATTTGTATAACTTGATTTAACTCATTATCAAACTTGCCAATTTTTTTTTTTAAATTAAAAAAAAAAATTGGAAAATTTTTATTTGTAAAATAATAAAAAAATAGCTTTACTTTAAAGTCTGGATTATTTCCATTATTTTTTGTACGTTAACAATCATATATTTTGGATTATTGATTTAAAAAAACAAATCAAAACCGTAAGGTTTAATAATATTCCTTAAATAAAAAATATTGTATAAAGAAAAGTATTTAATATTATATATTTTTCATTGATTGTATTTATTTTATTTTCATAATAAATGAGATGTGAAAAATATAAATAATTATATTTAAAATAAAGTCTAAAAAATGTTTAAAATATGAACTCTTCCGTGCATTGCACGGGATATACACTAGTTTTAATAAACGGATTCTAGAAATACGTTTTTAAAAAAAATATTTGAAACCGTATAATAGGAATACGTTTATAGTTAACTAAAAAAATTAAAAAAAAAAATAAAAAACGTATAAATTCTTTTTCTTGTATACAGACTGAAACCTTCTTATGATAACTACTAGAAGTAACAGATTTTATATATTTAGAGACCAACAAATTTTTTCTTGTATATAGACTGATGCAATGTATATAAGACCACAGCCTTAATGCTGCTTCTCAAGTTTTGAATTCTAGTAAAAAGTAAGCTTAAGAGAAAACAAAAATCGAATCCAATTCATGTTACCGTGATTGGGAGGATAAAATTAACTCCTATCTAAAATTCTTCTGTCATTTGAATCAGTGGGAGTGTATGTGGAAAATACTTCAGGTAGAAATATAAAGCTAATTTTACTGGTATTGTTTTCTCTAAATATAAAGATCCAGTGACGAATGAATTTGTTCTAGAAGGAGGAGCCCTGGTACAGTAGCTTTCTACAAGTTAACTTAATTTTTTACCAAGATTCGAGCAATACATTATTCAGCACCATTTATTTTCATAAGGTGTTCGCAGATATGGGCATTTGCGCCATTGATGAGTTTGACAAAATGGACGAATCAGACCGTACTTCTATACACGAAGTCATGGAGCAGCAAACTGTTAGCAATGCTAAAGCTGGTATCACTACATCTTTAAATGCAAGGACTGCTGTTCTTGCCGCTGCTAATCCTGCTTGGTAAACCATTTCATGAACGTATAACATTGAGTTAGTTGATTTGGTGTCTAATACTCACAGTAATCCTGGAAAGAATGTGTCTGTTCCGTAAATTAGAGGGAATGAGAAATTGTGTTAAACAATGTTTTAGCTCATTTTAGTTGACATTCTTTATTGGTGTGAACACAGGGATACAGCGGAGCCCAGTTGAAAGAATGCTTAGAGGAATATGCAGCCTTGAATGTGTGGCAGATTCATCCAAATACGTTCGACATCCGTTTTGAGGTGTCGTGTGCGACTCAACATATGTTGATATTTTAATTAATCCATGTGAATTAACTAGTTATTCGAAGTCATGTGAAGATGTTACATTTAGATGGTTACAAGTGATGAGCTTTTAGTACAATGGTGTTGTTATCAGGTCAAGGTTTATGATTGTGAGATGTTGTCAAAGTTTGTAATGTGTAAACTTTACTCGAATTCCTCAAGCACATATTTGGTTCCAATCTCTTTATCTACCTTACTCTCTTTGTTGTTGTTCAGATAAAAACTTGAAACGAAAAAACATGCTCCCAGGGCCTGCTTATAAATTATCAGATACATTATTATAGAATTTCAATTTGCTTTCCTGAGACGTAGTTGGGCTTAGTGTTGAAACCATATGGTGGATAATTTTCAAATGTCTTGTTTTTGTGGTAGTTTTTATTTTTTATTTTTTCACTTAAAGTTAGTAAATGTTCCTGTCATTGTGCCATAAGTGGATAAACTGAAGATGATCAACATGAGAACTTAATTTGAGTTAGTGTGATGTGTAGGCAATATTTTGATTTGGGTGGTGTCAAATATGTGGTTATGGTGAGATGTGGAAACTATAACTAGTGTTTTCTATTGTTTATTTTTATTGCAGTTCTTAGATACGCTCACTTTTTTAAGTGTCTTTGGCTATGTTCTACTGTGCTTTTGTGGTTCTCATTCTGGTACCTCCCTTTTGAATTTTCATCACCAGAATTCAGTACCCAAATGTAGCATCGTGTTATAATATCAATCTATAGGTACTGAATTGAAACAGAATCGTACGAGTATTGGTGTGGCTACTTCATGCTTTATTTTCTGCAATGATGTTATTTGTTAATTGTTAATTTTTCAAGTCTAGTTAATTACTAAAGTAGGTATCACGAAATCCTTGTTTTCTGGTCAGGATGCTTTGATTATTTATGCTATTATTGATTCTTGTTTCACAGTTTCATGTTGACATAAAGGGTGTGTTAGATAATCGGAGTTTAGTTGACTACTTATCGAGACATGTTCGCTTCAGTAAGACTATAGTTCATGTGCTAGCTTGACATTGTTAGATAATCGGAGTTTAGTTGACTACTTCTCAGGAGGTTTCGGTTACCCAAATAACTTGATTATTTGAATCGTTTATCCATGGTTCTTATTAATGTTATTTCTTCTTTTGTTTCTTTTATTATTATTATTATTATTATTATTATTATTATTATTATTATTATTATTATTATTATTATTACTATTATTATTATTATTATTATTATTGTTGTTGTTGTTATTATTATTATTATTTGGTTTCTTTATTGTCATATAATAGATGACATCAAATATGAGAATGAACATTGATATGGAAAGCAAAGCTGGGGGAAAAGATGTGACTCGGGCTAGTTGGTCAAAAGAAACTTTGTATTTATTTTGTGATTTGTGCATCGAATATGCGGAAAAAAGTAAAGGAAAACGTGGTGCAACAATCTCACAAAGAATGCCATGGAAGGTGTTAGAGGCTGAGTTTCAAAAAAGAACTAATTTGGCATATGACAAGAACAAACTTAAAAATAAATGGGATTGGATGAGAAATAGATGGAGTCTCTGGAAAGCACTGGAAGGAAAGGAAACTGGACTAGGATGGGATCATGAAAAAGGAACAATAAGTGCTAGTGACGAGTGGTGGAAAAAAAAAATTGAGGTCGGTTAATTTAAATATTATTTTTACTTTTAAATATCATGAAAAGGGTCAAAGCTGATATAATTTAATATTTTTTTGTAGGAAAATGTTAATTTTAAATCTTTTCAAGATGAAGGGATTGAACCTGAACTAGAATACAAGATGGAACAACTATTTGGAGTCTCAGTTGCTCAAGGGGCTCTTAGGTTCACTCCAGCTCAACATGAAAATGAATCAATTTATATCCCATCTCTTCCCCCAAGTATGGATGTTGGTAATACTCCATATGATGGTTTTAATGAAACTAGTGAGAATGATGCAGTTAATCTTAGTAGAACTAATAAAGAGTGGGAAGAAGTTTGGATCGACGGCAGCCCAATTCAATCTCCCACTTCACCTTCTCCACATTTTACAGAAAAAATTGTTATGAATAGAGGGAGCAAAAGGGCTTTCGAGAACAACATACTAGAAAGTTCTAAGAGTCGGAAGAATGAATCCTCTAGAAGAGGAGGTGCTGCAATGTTGATGGAGAAACTTGATACTATAGTAAAAGTTATTACTGAGAGAAACGCTAAGGATATGGAGATAATGACTCTTGAAGCAAGTACCTGTGTTGACTCTTCCAATGCACTTGCCGACACTCTTGCAAAGTTAGTGTTCATTACTGACTTGATTCCTGGGAGTCCTGAATTTTGTTTTGCTTGCAGCTTGATCGAAGATCCCCAAAAGAGGATAATTTTTAATGGCATACCAGATGATTACTCAAGACTCCAATGGAAAAATTTTTTGTATGCGAAGACGGAGAAGAATGAGTGAATATTTTTATTATTGTCTTGTCGGTATTTTTAATGGACACCTATTTAATATCTGGCATATTGAATATTCTTGTCTATTTAACTTTGTTGCTACTTGCGTTTGTTAGACTTTAAATGCAATGAGAACTATGTTGTTATTTGGATGTTGCACTTTGAATTTTAATATAAATGGAGTATGTTGTTTTGATCATATACAGGATTGTAAATTATTTTTTTGTTGTTGTTTATGGGTATGGATTTGAGGGCCAAACCTAATGCAATACGTAAGAGGGACAAAGATAGTTTGTTTTACGACTCAGTGGCTTGTGCGATGGGTTATATCACTCTCTATTATGCTAAGTACATGCACAAAGAGCCATGTTTTACTTCATTTATGACAGGTGAAAAATGGATGCATGGAATATTGAATGGACATGAAAAACGTTGTTTTCACATGTTTCGAATGTCCAGGAGCACATTTAGAGCATTGGTCATAGACTTGGAAAGTAAGCATGGGTTGCACCCTTGAGAAAGAACATCAACTTTAGAGAAAGTAGGAATATTTATATTTATTCTAAGTATAGGAGCCTCAAACCGTGAAGCCCAAGAGAGATTTCAGCATTCTGGTGAAACTATAAGTAGAATTTTTAAAGAAGTTATGGATTGCATGGATGGCTTGTCAAGGGATATAATAAGACCTAGGGATTCTGAGTTCAAAGAAGTCCCATTGCAAATTGCCAATGATACTCGATATATGCCACATTTTAAGGTATTTTACTTATTACATGTTATCTTTGTGTTTACATTAGAAATAAATAATAGTCATCTAGAAAATGATATTTCTTTTATTAGAAGTGCATTGGAGCTATTGATGGTACACATATAGATGTTATTATACCTGAGGAGGATCAATTGCGATATAGAGGGAGCAAAAGGGACCACTACTCTCAATGTCATGGCAGCATGTGACTTTGATTTACTTTTTACGTACGTTCTTACTGGTTGGGAAGGATCCGCTCATGATTCTCGAATTTTTCTGGATGCAATTACCAATCCAGACCTTAATTTCCCAAAACCTCCTACAGGTAATTTTTTTTTTTTATTAATGTATCGTTTAATTTTTTATCCATTACAATATATCCTTTTCTATTTTAACTTAACAAATTGTTTGTCAATATTCTTATACATAGGTAAATATTACTTAGTAGACAACGGTTATCCTGAAAGAGAAGGGTATTTGACACCTTACCATAAGACAAGGTATCATCAAACAGAGTTTCGGGGTGCAAATTCAAGAGGGTCTCAAGAAATTTTCAATCGAGCTCATTCATCCTTACGGAGTTGTATTGAGAGAGCTTTTGGCATTTTAAAGGCTCGCTGGAAGATATTAGTTAAATTACCAAAATATTCACCTCAAGATCAAAATAGAATAATTTGCTCAACATTTGCATTGCATAATTACATTAGAATGAGCAAAATTCCTGATCCAGCATTTATGATCATTGATAAAAATATAAATTTTATTCCTCCAAAAGTGTTAGCGGATGTTGGCCATATTTCCCCACAAGAGGTCTCGAACACAAGTACTAAGGAGATGACAAAAGTTCGAAATGATATTACTGCTAGTTTGATGGCAACTAGACAACCTAGACGTCGTCGTGTTGCTTGATCATTTGAATTATTTGTTTGAATAGACATGATTATGAAATTTTTGTACTTTCAAACGCTTGAAAACTTTGTAATTATGCTCGTGAAATCATTTACTTGGAACTTCTTAATTTGTCTTATTTATTTTACAATCTACATTGGTTTATGGTGCTAATAAATAATAATATGTATTAATTTATCTAGAAAAATGTAAAATTCATAACTTCTTCATCAAGTGTTAGTAAATTTAAAAAGAAATAATATAATATATTTATAAATAACAAACTAAAGAATATTAAATGTTTTAATATATTATTATTAAAAGAATACACTCTAAATAATAAAATGTCCTTATTGGTCATTTTGCAATGTCAAACAGCTATAAGCTTTCAACTATTTTCCGAACACTTATTTAAAAACGCTAATGCAATCCGCTTATCAAATCAGCTAATATAATCCGTTATCCGCTATTCACTGATACAATCCGCTATCCGTTATTAGCTGATCGCCAAACAAGGCCAATGTGACCAGGGTCACATGATTTTTTGCTTTTTATTATTATTATTTTACTATTATTATTATTAGCATTTGTTATTTTGCTGGTGACCCAAGGCATTTGGTCACCGATAAAGATAGCCTAAGGATATTCAATGTTTCTTTTTGGTTATTAATGATTTCTTCTACCTCTGTATGTAGTTGGTGGATTTTTCCAATAATCGTCTGTTGGTGCTCTCCTTAACTTTGTACTGTCTTCTGCACTCATGGATATTCATTGAAAACTTAGAGGAGTATGGAATAACTTCTTTCCACTTAACAAGTTATTATAACCCATCCTTCGATATGATTCAGATGAGCTCTTCCTTGATCATTTAACAAATCAGTTTGTATCAATTAATTTATCTAAAGGGCATTCATGTGACACTTCTTTTATTTTTTAGCAGAATCTAGAAGTAATTACATCTATTCTTATCATAATTTGCTCAAAATATCAGTTATCACAATGGACAACCATTTGCTGGTGTTTATTCGTACATCCTCAAAAATTTGAAGATACCTAGTGTACACAGTTTGAACAATTTTCATTATCCATCCCTTAAAATTTTCTCCTCCTAAATTTAATACCTTATAATAAATTCATTTAACAGTCCATCATAACACTTGGACTCTGATATCATCTAGTCTAGGCTCCTAACATAACCAAATTAAATTCAGCATTTTCATAAAATTTTAAACATAACTACATATTTTAAATGACGTAATTAATTTTAATAAACATTGTCCATAACAGGTTTGCTCATAGCCATGAGGGGACACTTGTCAATATTGCATGAACTTCTCCCTTAATTTCACTAATTAATTAAAAACGAAAGTTATAGTTGGATTCAGCTGGAAAGAGTGAAATAGATGCCATTTCCTTGGATTCTGATCAAAATGAGTACTCAACGGACTAATTCGTTAATTCACACGATGTGCGCTAATATTATACTGCAGCAAATATCCGTAAAATAATGAATATTCTTTGCGTACAGCATACAATTCGTAAGTTGATGTGAGACTAAAAACGTGCTGCTACTTTGACGTGCTCCAGAATGCACGCAATTATTATACTATTTTTTGGTTCCCATTTCCTTTTCAGTCCATATATTGGATTGGGAAGAATCTTGTGCTATTTGACCGCACAATCACAATTATGTAATGCTGTTGTTTTTTAGCATAGAAAAATGAAAATAAAAATAG